CCGCCGCCGCCACGCCCTCCCGCGTGTGCGGCTCGCAGGTGCAGCGGCCGCGCCCCGCGCGTCAGCGCAGCCTTCTGTGCTCCACACAGCTTGGGCCAATTTTTATCTCGGTTCTTCTTATCCTCATCCCCACCTCCCGGTTGTTTTCATCATAACAATGACTGGTACATTTTTCCTGGCGTGTTTGAAAGCAACGGTCAGGGCTGAGACTGAGTCACCCTGCGAAACTGTCTCCTCAGCTGCGTCTTCCCCAATCAGTCCCACCTGCGCCGAAGAGGGACAAAGCCGTCCCTTGATTTGCGCCTATTTAAAAATCACTAACAGACTTGCTGTCATAGCGTGGGTACAGATGTCATGATCGTTGACACCTATAAGCAAACAGGAACGTTGTGGAGGATGAGGGTCTGGGAAGGATTAGTGGCAAAGAATCAGTACTATTTGCAAGGTTCAAAACAGATTTTTAAAAACCCTAGTACTCTTTCTAGTGGACTTTGAGATCTACAAGAGACCTTTCATTGCAAAAACCCTTCATTCAAAAGTCTGCATTAAAGGACTTCTCAAAGTCATCTAATCCCATTCTACTGTATTCCACAAACTCGCAAATTCCTACTACAATCACAATTTTGCTAAACATACATTAGGCCTGATCCCTTCCTTCCTAGAAGACTGCAATCCAGTAATTCTAGGATAACTGGCAATTCAGTGTAGTCTTCACTTGCAAAACAAAAAATGAACACCCCGAAGGGAATCAGCAAAGGGCAACTTTCAATCTTTTGTATCAGAAAGAGAAAAAGGTGTTGGAATGATGTCATCTTCACTTTTGAAGAAGCCAGAGTACTGACAGCTTTAAAAATGACAATTATGTGGGGGAGGGGAAATTGTTAATGCAAAGCATTTATTTCTTTCTCCAACTGACAGGAGTCACCATCTTACTAGAGAGGTAATCGTGAAATTGACTCCAGTGGCAAAGCAATGAACCCAATAGTCACTGGTTGAGCAGCCATACAGGTGTTCAAAGAGCCATTTCAAATTTAAAATGCATCAAGAAGTAGACTAAGGCAGTTTGAAAAACTATCTATTTTATAATCAAACTCATGTAGAGTAGACATAAGTTTTTTAAATTGCCATTTCTAAAATCACAACGGGAGCAATACATTTTCTGAAACAGCTTTAAATGACCACATTTTTTAATAGCCCTTTTAAGAACCAGTTTTGCAAAACCATGCATGCCAATTTTCAAGCTGGCATCAACTCTATAAGTCACAGCAATCACAATGAGCACAGAAAATAAGTCAGGTTAAATGACATTATAGTAGGATTATTTTTCATATCTTTCATTTCAGAGAATAAACAGATCAATATGTGAATACTCACCCTATTTCTAGTGTATTTAAAATATGCAATGAAAGACATTACTGTATATACTACAGCATACACAAAATGACTTGGTATTTTCCTATGTTGTTTCTGAAACTATTTAAAAAAAAATATTTTTAAAAAGAAGAACACTTAGTGATATACAAGGGGTTTATACGTAATTGGTGATCAATAACAGTAAATGGGGTTAATCCGCATTCCTGAAGGACTTGAGCTTGAGGGTGGATATGAGGAGGACATAATGAAGGAAGGGGTCACAAGTATGCTACAGAGCAGAGCCTGAAGATGGATGTGGAGGTGGGTTGCCACAATGGAATTGAGATGGGAGAGAGTTACAGCCTTTGTAAGGAAACCTGTGCTTGGTGTCCCTAGAAGCGGCAGCACAGTTGTAGTAAAATATTCTGTGATTTCTCCTCTACCCTCTTCAGCAACCACCCCACCTCTCCTATCCCCCTTAAAAAAAAAAAAAAAAAAAAAAAAAAAAAAAGCACACACACGCACACACACACACAAATAGAAAAGTAAATTAAAAACTCAAACATCAGGCCAGGCGCAGTGGCTCATTCCTATAATCCCAGCACTTTGGGAGGCCAAGGTGAGAGGACTGCCTGAGCCCAGGGGTTCGAGATCAGCCTGGGCAACTTGGCTAGACCTCCTCTCTACAATAAATCAAAAAATTGGCCTGGTGTGGTGTCGCATGTCTTTAGTTTTAGCAACTTGGAAGGCTGAGGTGGAAGGATCATCTGAGCCCAGCAGATCGAGGGTGCGGTGGCCGTGAGCTTGCCGCTACCCTCCAGCCTGGGCAGCAGAGTGAGACTCTGACTCAAAAACAACAACAACAACAACAAAAGTCATATATCTGTCTGGCAAAAAACAAAACAAAAAAAAAAAAACCTCAAATATGACAGCAAGAGGGAATGTTACCAACTTTGCTGAAATATGTGTCGATTCTTCCTGTTTAAACTTTCAGCGGCTGTGCTGCCTCTCCTTCTCCCCTGGGGCTGTTTTCCAGTTTCTTATCCTCTAGTTCTCCAGTGGGGGCAGGGGGCAGGGGACAAACGACGGAAGCTATGATGAGGGGGTGGCTCTGATAACAAATCTCAAGTACCAGTGGGACCCTCAAGTTAACAAAGGCCTGGAAGCAACTGGATATACAGGACTAGGAAGAAGAAAAGGCAGTATAAAAGAATCCAATGGGACTCTCCTTATCACAAATCTACTTCTGCTTTCTCATTTTACATATGTAGAAACCAAGATCCTGAGAAGAGGCAACTTCATAATCACCGAGTTGATTTGGTAGAGCCAAGGCCAAAACAAGGGTGCCAGTTCTGTTTTATTTACACTTCCCCAGAGCACTTCTCAAGTCCAAGGATATAAGGGAGGTCTGGTAAGAAACAGATTAATTTATAAAAGAAGAAGAAAGGGAGAGAAGAATGAATGAAGAGAGGAAGAAAAAGAAGTGCCTATTGGCACTTAGGAGTGAACTGGCCACTGGTGACTCCCTATCAAAGAAGCAAAATCCCAAAGTGATAACTGATTCATTTGATTATTGACCCAGACTCTTCCAGTGAACCACAAATGGCTCTTAATAACCTTTGGAACTACTTGGAGCTATCTGGATATACAATAACTGTTTTCATTACTTTATATTTTATGTCCAGGTTTTAGTTTCATTTATGGTTGGGCAGTGAGTAGCTAGTTCTATACTGAAAAATTCACATTCCTTTCTTGTCTAATAAGTACACCATAAATTAACTGATTTTTAATGGCATAACCTATTTGAAAAACAGGGTTATATATTTACATTTCCTTGAAATATTAAATAAGATGAATTTTTCATTATTATAAATTATATACCAAGCATACTGTTTAATCTTTTAACACAGAGTGTCTTTAACATATGAACTATTCTCTGCAATCTAGACATCTTCCTGTAGAGATTACAGAAAATATTAGCATTTAACGTAAGTGTCCTACTGGGCCCAAGTGTATTTACTTTATGATCATGAAAGTTAAAGCTCAAAATCTGCGATTGCCAAAATAAATGATTAAAGAGTAGGAGAACAGAGAACTGAAGGAGCTCCAATTCCCTCAACCACGTCTTTTTTTCTCTTACTGCACCCGTCCCACACAATCCAATAATTCTCAAGGACTCTCTCTGCTAAATGTCTCCTGAATCCCTCCACAACCTATCTCATCCAGATCACTATTGTCTCTACCCTCCACTACTCAAAGAACTCTCAGTCTCCCTACAGCTCTTCTCTGCCAAGCCATCCTCCACAGCACAGCCAGAGGACTCTAACTACAAATGTGATCATGCTGTTCTCTGGCTTCAAAAAACCCTCATTCTTAGGATAAAGCCCAAACACTTAATAAGGCCATCCCAGATTCCTGTCAATTCCAAAGCCCTTCACTTGAACTCTATGCTCCAGCCATAATGAACCCTCTGGCTAGATAGATAGGTCTTGTTCCAAATGAGCACCCTGTCCTAATCCCCACACCCTTCCCACCCCTGCGCTAAATTTGGTCAACCCTTATTTACTCTTTAGGTAACAACTGACTTCAAAGGCCACTTTCCCAGACATCTCAAAGCTGCTGACAAGCCTCCTCTATACACATAGTCCATAAACATCCCTAACAACTTATTCTCTCAAATCCCGTATCGGGTGTCTTGGATTATTTGGGTTGCTAATCTAAATCCCTTACTAGAGTGTAAGCCCAGTGGTTCCATCCCTTGACTGTGCATCCCTAGCAGAGAGGATGGCAAACAGTAAGCATTCAAAAATAAAGATTTATTGAAAAACAGAATAACTGCATACATTTTAAGATAGATCCTACATATACTTTCTTGGGCTTTTTCCTGGAGGAATCTTTACAAAGGCTGTGTTAAGGCCTAATCCTTGCCTTTAGGGCTATTAATTAAAATCATGCCAAGGAATAGAGAATTATCCACAAAAACCAATTAGAGCAATATATCAAAATTTATTAATAAAGTGCCAGACAAAACATGATCAAGCGAAAAAAACTCCAGTTGAAAGAAGGAATGCTATGGGTTGTCAAGAAATTTGCCAGTTACAGAGACAGTGAGGCACAAACCCAAGAGCTATGGATATGAATGAGAATAGGAAAGCTGGATGAAAAGAAAAAGGAAGTCAATACTAAAAATGAGTGCAGAGAAATAGCAGTAGGTGTAGGGGCAAGATTAGTCTAAGAAAGACTGTGAAACTAGATAAACAATTATTTTAAAGTGCTTTAAATTTATGTTATGCTAAGAAGAAGAACCTACAATTTTTTTCTTCTTTGAGAGGCAGAAAAAACTAGCTATGTTTTCTTTACTGTGATGTCAGTAATTGGATGAAACAAGTTCCAGTTATACTAGAAGAACAGAGAAAAAAGCCAAAATAGGTTCAAACTGTAAGGAAAAACTGGATTTACTCCAGTCATCAAGGTAGCTTTGATATCAGAAAATACCTTTTCCAAATCACAACTGTTATTTTGAGAGGTCAGATTTAAAACTCCTGAAGACAATGAAAATGACTTACATGCAGAGACTAAGAAGAACCCAGCAAATCTAAATGTAGATTATTCAAATTAGAAAGTACTGTGAAACTTTAGTGATATAAACTATTAAAAAACAATGGAGAATAGGCACAAGAATTAAAGAAAAAGTCCTGATTTTACAGGTAGCTGTGGTTTACAAAAAAAGAAACTAGACCCAGAATAAAGAAAACCTGGTTTTTAGTCAGAGCAAATCATCACACTTTCCTCAGATTCATTTTCTTCCCATGAAAATTGAGATTTATATTATAATCTTAATCACTGGTCTACAGGGAAGATTTTCTTTACGTATGCTTGTGTTATGATGATATGCAGAAGATTAAATGAGGAAATGCTGCTTAAATTGTAGATTGTAAAGCACTATTAAAAATATAAGGTAGACCTTGCCCTGCTACCTTTCACAGTGTGAGAACACAGTGTTCCTTCCCCCTGGAAGGTGCAGCAACAAGGTACCATC